TAGTTACGTACGTACGTAACGTAACTACCTTACTTCTTCTTCTACTAACGTAACGAACAACGAAGAAGTAGTACGTACGTACTACTACTCTCTCTCTCTCTCTCTCTCTCTCTCTCTCTCTCTCTCTCTCTCTTTTTGCTGTGTGAAGTTCCATGAGAAGAGCACAGAATAAATAGACACATGAAAAAAATATCTGACAACGAGGACATGCAAGCTCATAATCCTGACTTCCTAAGACAGCAACCAAAAGCCTTAAATGCAAAAGAATATAGACATGAGATTTTTTTAGGAAGAAAATAAAGGATTTTACAGCCATTGAATCTTATTAAGAGATGCATGGAAAAATTTCAGCAGTGTTTGAGCATGGAAATTTAGCAGTATTGATGATACCAAGGAGATGACAAATTAATACAAAATATTTGACAAAGATATCATACTCAATGAAAATGTACTTATATATATGAAAGCTAGGAAGAACTTATTTAGATTGAGCACAAAGAAAGATTCAGTATTCTAATCTCCAAAAGTTTATCAACTACCCAGTTGATCAATGTTTCATTGGAGTTTTTGATCAACCCTTCAATTTTTTGTTTAGTAGATTCACAAGAAACAAGGTTTACATTGTCTCAGAATAAATGGTGTATCTTTTCTGTAAAAGACTTAAGCTAATTTAGTTTCCTTTTCTATGCGAGGCCACCTTCATTGGAGCTCTCTCTCTCTCTCTCTCTCTCTCTCACACACACACACACACACACATATTTTGAACAGGCTAAAAAAGGAAGTGGCAATGAGTAGATACTTCCTTTCTGATAGGTAATCACCAGAATATCTATGGTTATTTATGTGCTTTTGATAACTTGGACACACAAAATCAGAGCAAAGATTGAGAATCAAAGGGATAAAGCTTATTCAAACTTACCCAGCAGCTAGTTCAACCAACTGTGGATGCAATTCTTCCTCCCTTAGTCTTGAGATAGATGAGAGAAGAGAATCAATGGAGAGGTGAGAAGACTGTATCTGTGACTGCAATCCCTCAACATTCAATCTGGCCTTCTCTATTTTTACCCCATCTTTGTTTCGAGCTTCCTGTCTCTGCAACAACCCACTCTTCTTCTTGAGCTGATATTTTGCAATCTCTTCTCCCTACAAATGAGTAACTCCACTGATTCATTGTGCATACAACTAAAATGAGACAAACCACTTCTTATCTTTCTATGAATTTCCAGAAAATGGAGAAGAATTAGGACTCATCAAAAATTCGAAATGGAATTCATGTGGCCGTAGGAAATCAACTGGGGCGGTATTATACGAGTTAATAATCCAAGAAGGAACTGATTTAGAAATGTAGAAAAATGGGAAGATAGAAAGAAAGAGAGACTATCATAGGACACACATTAAGATAAAACAGAGAGAGATAGAGAGAAAGGGAGAGGATAAATAAAAACACAACTGATGCCCACCCATGATGACTTAACCAAGCTGCATGAGCCAATATGGACTATTAGGGTGCAAATAATACCCCAAAGGCCAAAACCGGTTTCCAGAACTCGACTGAGTCCACTCAGCCTCGGCACCCTGCAGGGGCAAGTTCTATTGACAAACTAGGGTTTATTAAAAGCTCAAAAAATAAAATTTGTAACTAAATCACTAATAAATGATGTATAAATATTATTTTATATAATTTTTATTTTTTCACAATGATTTATGAAATTTTCTTATTACATGCTCTATTTTTTCTATTTTCCTTCCCTTTTTTGGATTTTCTGAATTGTTTCAAGCAATACATCAACTTTTTCAAATCTATCTTCTATATACTTTTTTCCATCTTTTGTATAGTTGTTTATAACTTGTTTTGTCTTTTTACTTACATTTTTATTATTTTTAACATTTTTTGTTTGCAATTTCTGGGCCCTTTTTGGGCTCGTACAAGACTCAGGCGAGTCCACTTGGATTCAACCGAGTTACTCGGTTCAGAGAGGGGCCGAGTCCCAAGCCTGAGCTGGAGCCAAGTTTTTGCACACTGGCCAAAACAGTCCCATATTCTATTTCTCAAAATCCAACCTTAATTGCAGAGATCCATTTTTTTTTGTGATAATGTTAACATTGTATTGATGGAGCGAGTAATTGCACAGATCCCTTTTCAAGCTATAAGAGCAGCACTTTTGACTTCACTAAATTTATATTGGTTTCAAGAAAAAAAAGGAAAAAAAAAAGAGCCAAAAGAGAAACATTATCATTCCCCATTAATAATGATTAGGTTAGATCACTTGTAGAAAGACAAGGACATATCAGACATTTGCCTGATTGAATAACTACCTTAATTTCTTTGTAGAGCCTTTGTTCCTCAACATAGAGCTTATCTAAGGTTGTGCAATGGCTGTCATGCCTGAAGGAACCATCAAAACTGAAATTTTCAACTGTATCTCTATTCTTAGAGGACCAACTCCAAGACAATGCGCTGAAAACCTTTGCAGACTTGAAGCTACTCTCTGTGAACCAAAATAGAAAATCTCATAAAACCCAGAAAGAATCTTCACTAAGACAAAAAATCTCCATAAACATCTTTGCGATTGCAAGTTATCACAAGAATGTAAATATTTTAAGAAATATCTATGACATATGCAATCTACAAACTTGAGCTTTTCCTTGACCTCATAATGTACTGTATTAAAAGAAAAGATGGCCTATTTCAGTAAATTACAGTTGCATAAGGCGGAGCTACTAAGCTTCAATTCTATGTGCAGGATTTATCAAAGAATTAGAAGAAAATATCAAAGCCTTTATGATCAAGAAGAATTACAGACAGACAGCGCACTTAATAAATAGGGGTTACTCATATGCAAGACTGCACAAGCACAAGCACAAGCACAAGCACAACTGCACACACATGCTCAGAGAGAGAGAGAGAGAGAGAGAGAGAGAGAGAGTTGAAGACTAGCATTAGAGCTTAGGGAGCTTAGAATTAAAGGAACCCCAACAAATAAATTTTAAAGAAAGGAGCTGGGATTACTCTTGTTTCTTTCATAGCCATGATGCAGGCTAAGGCTTCTACTAATCTCCAAAAGCACAGCAGCCTCTTTGCCCCCTGCTGAAGCCTTAAGGAAGTAGTCATCCAGTTCCTTAACAATCCCCATCAAGCTCCTCTTTGTCCTCCAAACCACCATGGCCAAATCTGTGTCCTTTGTGTACCAACTAACCATTGAAGAGCTATCATCCATCTCTCTAGCTGGTGATTTCTCAGGAAGAGGCTTTGAAAAGCTAACCATCGAAGAGTTATCTTCCATCTCTTTCGCCACCGATTTCTCATGAATCGGATTCAAAATCAAATCAACCTCGCTCTCCATGAATACATCCTCCTCAAACTCTGTATTAGTCTCTGCCCAAACTTCGTCCTCAGTCAAATTGCCTTCCTTTTTCTGATCTTCTAAGCATGGCACTTTCTTTGGATTAGGATTCAAAGAAGACCCAAATGGGTCCCAAAAATCCCAAGCTGAACCTTGAGCTGGAGGAGGAGGAGGGGTATCAACACCATGATCAATGTCCATACTCTCTTGACAAACCTTATTACTATCAGTGTTGTTAACATCGGTGTTCTTGCTATTGTTTTCTCCAATGGTGACTATGGTTTTTGCAGTGAAGTCAGAAGAAATGGTTCCAGGGCTAGATGATCTTTGAAGGGGACTCAATGGAAGTGCGGGTGGAGGTGAAGGGGGTAAAGGTGGAGGGGGAGGTGGCATAAAAGAAGGAGTGAGAGAATTTAACTCCATGGATTCAGCTTCAGCAAATTGTCGTAGTGTTACCCCTGTGTTTCTCAGAGCTTGTAAGTAGGCCATGAGAGAGTTGGAGAACTCATTTCTACAGGCCACTGCTTGCTTAATTAACCTTCTCCTCTCCTTACACCTCTGCACATTCTCTTCCTTGTCGACTCTTGAAGAAGCACAACCCATTTTCCTTAGTCAAGGGGAGAGAGAATAGTAGGCAGGGTGGAGAGTGCTTTCCTCTAGAGCTCAAATTTCTCCATGCACAGACTAAACACAATAGAGTGAGTAGATTTCCAAGTTCAAGCACACCCCATTTTCTTTAGCTTAAAAGGAGAGATGGGTGTGCAGGAAAGGTGTCAAAATGCATTCCTTTAGGGGTCAAGTTTCTCAATCTTCAGACTAAATAAAGTAGATAGAGAAAATGCCCAAGTTCGCACTGATCGCTTCTTGGGTTAAGTGCACAATGAAGCACTGAAATATTCCGTATCAAGCAAAATAAAGTAAATAGAAATAAGAACACAGAGCCCAAATTTTTACTGTTTCTTCTTTCCTATCTCTCTCTTCTTGTAACAACTTCAAGAAATCTTCAAAACTGGATTTTTTTCAACAAGTTATCAATGTCTAATTTGATCTTCAAAACCCAATCTAATAGAAACAGTTCATAAAGATCAAATCCAAGAGATACCAAACTTCAATGTGGTATTCAAAAACCCAGGCTACTTAAACAGAGTTCATGAAGCTCAGAGGACAGAGATCCAAAGTACAATTTGATTTTCACAACTAATAAACTCGGAGAAAGCAGAGATAAATCTGAAATCTTTTTGTATGCTCTTCTTCTAAGGACTGTACCTCAAGGAAATGTTATCCCACATTTTCAGCACAAACAGTAGGCACTTAAAAAATATAGGGGAGAGAGAGAGAGAGAGAGAGAGAGAGAGAGAGACTGTGGGTTAAAAGAAGTCCCAAAACTTGCATTTTATTCATAGAGCTTGGAAACAGCCCATCAAAGATTTCTCAAAAAATTGGGGTCCAACAAAAAGCTTCAAAAACACTCATCATGAGTCAATGCCAAAAAATAGGCCCATCACCTGAACCAGATATTAGACACATTCATTGGAGTGCATTTTCAAACTCCTAAACCTTTTGAAAAACCCACTAAAGGGAAAAAAGAAAGAGAACCTCACTCATAGAGAGATAGATAAACAGTAGAGAGATGAGTGGTTCAGTCCCACCAAGTTTGAAGCTTGATAAAGAGAATGCATTCAGAGAGACAGGAACAGTAAAGAAATGAGTGGTCTAGTCCCAACAAGTTTGAAGCATAATAAAGAGAATGCACTTAGAGAGAGGGAGACAGAGTCTAGAGAGAGAGGTTATTGGTTCTTACAGGTGTAAGGCATGAAGGACAAACTGTTAAGGAGAGGGAAACACTTGTTTTGAGCACGCAGGAACCATGGGGATGTGTCTGAAAGCTTTGATCCACTCTGATCGAGGGAGAGGCATCAGAACGCAACAGAAGCCCTTGTAGAGAGAGAAAGTTTAGTATTTATACTGCCTGGAGGCTGTCCCCTCTGCCGACAACTATTCATGCACCTTCACTCTAGACTCTAGAGAGATAAAGAAAGAACACAGCTTTTGCAGTGTCCCCCTCCATTTTTTTTCCAAATATATCTGAAATAATCTTTTGTGATCCATAGTCAGGGCATAGATTGTAGCAATGGTACTAAGCCAATTCTTATTTGGCCTAGAAAGCGTATGTGTATTGGATTGACTGTGGTCTCCATAATGTTGAGGTTTGACACCTCTCTCTCTCCGGACTAGATCTATGGACTAGAATAAATTATATGGTGCGGTTTGTATAAGGTTGCAACCTTAAACAATTAACGTAAGGTGTACCTCCAAATTTTACTACACAATGTAATTTCGGTGTCAAAAATTTTTAGAATGGCTCGAGAATCTAATTTCATCTCTAGTTATAAAATTTGAAACTCTGCATATGGTTCAAATCAAGTAAATATATAAACACATGAAAATTTTGAAAAAGAACAGTCCAGATGATGAGTTGCAAGATGACTGTTTGGATTTGAAATTTTTCTTTTCTTTTATTTTCTTACATATCGATCCTGAAATGATCAATTAGGGGGTTTTTAAATATTAAAAAAATTCTTTTCGATGGATTTTTGATGTGCACTTTAATAGTTTTTTCCTAAATTTTATTAGGTGTGCAAAAAGATATGTAGATGGGTACCATATCAACCATGGTCTTTATAGTGTTGAGGTTTGACACCTCTCTCTCTCTCTCTCTATTGGGTACCCAAACTGTATTAGTTATGGAACTCTATATATGAGAGTGCTATCTTTTGTTACTTTAGGATGGTAAAGTTTGACTTGTCTATTTTCTCTATTTTTTACTTAGGGCATCTTTGACAATGGGGATTGCCTTGTCTGTTTTCTCTTTTTTACTTGTGGCACATTTGACAATGGGGAATGCCTTATCTATTTTCACTTAGGGCATGGGCATGTTTGACAATGGGCGTATTCGGATCGGCACTGCGTTTTTTCCAATCCGTAGTGTAATTTCTCCTCTATAACACTCGGACTAGTGCGTTCTCGTTTGATAACTTGGATTATCTGCGTTTTCTCCGATCCGTAGTGTAATTTCTCCTCTATAACTCTCGGACAAGTGCGTTCTCGTTTGATAACTTGGATTTAGCTACAATAATCGGGAATAAAAGTGTAATTGTCCTAAAGAGGATGTGAGGAAATCATGAGGTGGTTTTCACAAGTTCGATCGTAATGGAACCCCTAAAACTCCACTAATCAACCACTCCCTCCGTCAAATCCGGCCAAATGACTACCTTCCGAAAATAGGTGTTCGGCATTATTAGAAATTCAAGTTTTCAGAACCCAAGTTCTCAAAAGCCAGGATTTCCAGGTTTCCAGATCTCCGTGGTCAAACATGCTCTGAGAACAAATTGATAATCAAGTTTTAGTAGATAAGAATCATGGCTGGAGATGCATTGCTGTTAGTATTTATAGTTTTGAACTTAGAGACTGCTCCAGGTTAGGTGGTCAAGGGTGCCACATTATGATATCATAAGTTTCATTATTATCACGGGTAGGGGACTCTTTTTTAGTTGAATTACCTTATACTATAAAAAAGTAAAGTGCACTTAAAAAATCCAGTTAAAAATAGTGTTTTAGAGTTGAAAAACTTTTCAATTGATCATCCCGACTATGAGAAATATGCATATAAAGAATAATAATAATTTTAAAGCCTTAAAATAGCACATATTGTTACAAGTTATTTGGATTTTGTACTTTTAAGATTTTCAAGTGTTTGCAGAACTACTCGATCTAAACCGTTTTTGAAATTTTATATTAGGTGTGAACATAGATTTTCAATCCATTGTGAGGTTTCCAATACTAGAACTATAAATTTAGAGGTGCGCCTTACTTTTATAGTATAAAAGGGGCACCTTATATAAACTTACCCTTATGATATAATTATACCCAAAGTCTCAAATAATTGGAATTATATACAATGGGACCATTTTTTTTTAATACAAAGAGATCACAACCACCCTCATGGATGACAAACAAAAAATCTAAAAGATTGAAGGTCTAGTAGAGTTTTAATTCTTTTTTGGATCTTGAACCCAATTAATGAGACACTCTCAACCCCTAATTTTATATCCAACAATCAAAATTATTGTGACCTCCTTGTACTTCAATTAACTTGTATAAAAATGACACCCATGTTACACTTGAAAATTTGCGCAGACTGCAGAGAAATGACATATCCTTGATTTACATATGAAGGCATGACTTATTCGTGACCTTTGTGTAAAAAAGATAACAATCACATGTCACATGACAACATACCATAAATATAGAGAAGACAAGAAAAATAGTGATACATATAGCAATACCCACTGTTACTATCTCAGCTTCAGGCTTTGATTTTCTTTTATTATTTTGTTAAGTGTTACCCAAATCATGCTTTCAAATAAGATTGAAGATAGCAAACATAACATGCTCATGCTTTCAGATAAGATTGAAGATAGCAAACATAGCATGGGTGGTTAAGGGGGTGATGCCTCAACATTAACCCTTCAAAGTCTCTTGAAATTTGATGGAATTCAAGAGAAAAACACCACAACCATGCGGTTGAAGCGTTAAAACTGTAGAAAAATCAACTTATAACATTGAAAACAATCCCATCACAAATAACCTAAGTCTATAAAAGATGGAATGTATAGTACGATAAGTGTGGCATGCAAATGTCATTTATAAGGAAAAAGTGGATAACGTAAAGTTCAAATATTGTAAACAATGTATACTATGATTAGAGTGCAGCAGGCAAATGTCATTATAAGGAAAACGTGGATAATGTGAAGGTTAAATATTGTAAAATATGTGATCTTAATTTTGGTAAAAAATGTTTGTTATAACTGAAATTATACTAAAAATAATGACTATTCTTTGAATTTTTTGATTAATTTATATCAATTTCAATTGAAACCGATTAACGGGCGCTCCTTATGTGTAGAGTTTTCTAAACCCCTGCACACTGCCTTTAATATAATAGAAAGCTTTCCATGTGACCGCACCGACATATATAGTATATGTGACCACTGATTTCATTTGTCATATCTAAATAGATGGTGAGATGGCTTGAGTCACTATGTCACAAGCTGATTCTTGAACGTAAAATCTTGATTCGACGATGTAGTCTTTTATTTTAATCTTTATTTTAGAAGTCATTTTATAGATAAAGTTGGGGCATACATACATCTCACATAGGCACACATAATAAAATAAAATAAAATAAAATTTTTTAATAAAAATTATCGGAATATCCCTTAAAAATTTATGAGAATTTTGGTTATTTATTTTTATGAAAAATATATATCTTTTTTATTTTTTTCTAAGTGGGTAAAAAAATGAGATGGGACACGCCAAAATTTAGTTTTTGTGGAAAAAATTAAAATTAAAATAATATTGTGACATGAGATTGTAACATGAACCATCCCGACCATTGACTCCGATCAAATGGTTAAGAATTGGGATGACACAAAAAATCTCTTTATGCAACGTGTCCAGTAGTGTTTCCTTCGCGGCTATAAACATTAGAAGTAGAACAACTGTTTTTTTTAGCATAGAGAAGCTATGGAAAGCCTTTGACGACCATGAATAGTGGAAATAATAGAAAAAGTTACATGTTAACTCCAAAAGGAGTAAAAAAAGCTAAAATTTATTATGCTCCGGCTGGAGTACACTATCCATTTCCATTTACTACCCCGTGTAAATCCCAATCTAGAATTAACTTTAGGTTCTCATGTATTGGGGATGTAAACTCTTCAATGCATAGACTAATCTAAATTCAAAAAATTTCCATATTGTACTATCTATGAGCTTGAAAAAAATAAGGCAAAGGGACCCACCCCTAAGATTAGACTTTTTAACCCTTTTTTTTTCTTTTTTACTTTTTTTACTTTTTAAAGTAAAGCCCAAGACTCACGGATTGGAAATCGTAGGGTGTGGCCCCGCACCGCGCCGCATTTGACAATGGGGAATCCTACGTTAAGCTTTTTTCGGTCCAAATAATGCTTTCAATGCGGCCAATCACGAGCTCTCCCTCCATAAATGATGTTTGAAACTCCAGATTTCGAGGCCTGTTCGATGAAACTTTTCAGTGCACCCGAATTAATGGTCTCGAAACCGGTTTTTCTTTTTCTCTATTTTTATTGTTCTTTTTTGGAGCCATATTATCCATCTCCCTCTGCATTTCTATTTTAAAACCATGTTAACAATTTATGTTATGCGCATGCACGATAAAGGTCACGCTTACATAGCTCAAAGTAATGTTGTCCGATCGGATGGACCGCCATTTCCGTGAGGAGCTTTAAAATATATTAAAAAAAAAAAAAAACAGCTAACTGATTAAAATTGCCAATTTGTTAGTGTAAAATAGTCAAATATTAGTTTTGATTATTTTTTACCTTCACTATGGATCCGACCAATCAAAGCATGAATTAGTAGTCTAGCCGGTTAGAGCGGACGGTCCGGCTTGGTCTTGATAACCATGGTTCAAAAACATATCTTGTCTCTCTCTTTGGCGGTTGTATTTATGTATTAGATCAAGGGCATATTAAGAAAGGGGCTGGGGTTTTAGTGGTAGCATCCTCACTTCTAGTTAACCGGTATGCATTCTCGTTAACACCCTCAGTTAACACTTTCAAAATGTAACTCTTTAATCTATTGAAAAAATGGGAACGGGCCTGTCCTCCCCACTGAATTACCCAATATATATATATATATATATGATCAAGGGCATATTAGATACCCTTAGTATTGGTGGGTTTGCTTCTCCAAAAGTTTCACAACTGAAACGTGCTTTCTAGGTTTTTGCTGGGGTTGTTTATTATGTTAGCATTGAGTTCGAAACAAGCTGCTAGTACTCCTTGACCGTCCGTCTGATATCAACCATCGACGGTTGCATGTCAAGCTTCAAGTCTATTTAAATGCTACCATTACTTACCTTCCTGTCCATTTGGTAGTAGTATCCTTCAGTGTCGTTTTTAGATAGTCACTGAATCTTTGCATCTGCAACCTTTTTTTTAGCTATAATTTCAACAAAGATGGTATTTTTAGGTCTTGTTTGGAGAGCAGAACAACTTCAACAAAGGAGTTGCTTCTTCAG